CCAGTTAGTTGGGTCAGTTTTATAATTTAAAAGTTTGCTCTGTACGTTTTTCTCTCTGACTCTGTCTGCTGACCTTGTGGCTCATAGCCCAATGCGTAACCACTATGCCAACAGGGCTCCTGATAGTATGTCCAAGGCCCACGAGAAGAAATCGCTCCATATTCACTTCTAAGCAACGTTCTAGCTGTGCTCCTTACAAGATAGATTTGTTTGTCCTTCGGGCAATCCATAGTATAATCCATATTCTGTTCCAAAACTATAATTCAAATGCACAAATTCATCTGTGGTCTTTCTTATTCATTGTCCAACTTTCGCATGCAGGGTTGTGTATGTAATAGTTTTGTTTTCTTTTACTCTCATGCAATTGTAATGTCTTTCTCTGTATTTGTCATGTTGTGCTGAACTCCTTCTCACTGCAATGTCTTTCCTTTTACCAAAGTTAATAAATACGTGGTTAATACTCTGTGTTAGTCTGGGTACATTAGAGAAACAAATCCACAGAAACTCATGCATAAGACAGAGTTTTATATAAAGCTTAAATGCACATCAAGATACATTCCAACCCAGTGCTGCCCAAGTCTACAAATCCAACATTAACCTATATGTCCTACACCAATCCACAAAGTCCTCCTCCATCTCATAAAACAATGATGCTGACTGTAGGAGGAAAGCCAAATTGGTGAACATGTAAGCATCTCATTGCTGGCAGGGGTCTCCACACGGCTGCTCCTGCACCCAGGGCTGCATCAGGGTAGGTCCATGCGGCTTCTCCTCAGGGATGTCTTACAGGAAGTGAGCCTTGCCAGCTGAAGCAGGGAACTGGCTAAGCCAGCTGCACCCTGGTCCGACCATCACAAAGCAAGAAACCTGATAACTAGAAAGGTGAGGCTCACTGAGCCATTTATCTCTCCGCCCTTCAATTAACCCCACATGTGTTCATCAGCCAGCATGGCACAATAAACTACCTCATACTAAATACTCTATATTAATAATGTTCCCTTTTACCACTCCCAACCTTGATGGCCATCACGGAATTTTCTTTTTGTTGGTGTTTAAATCTTTTCTTGTGTTTTTATGATAGTGATCTGGTTTGTCCTTTTTACAGCATAATGTCCTCCAAGTTCGCCCACATTGTGAGGTGTTTTGCAGATATTTTGTTAATCTTTAACACTGCAGAGTATTCTATTGTGTGTATATACTACAGTTGTTTATCCATTTATCTGTTGATGGTCACTGAAGTGGTTTCTATCTCTTTTGCTATTTGTAAAAAAATGTGAAACTGGCATCTGACCTCCTCTAATTTCATAAGCAGGGAAGAATCATCAGCTTCAATCATATAAGGCTGATTCCCCTGAGCCAGAGGTCAGACTTGCTCTACCCTCCAACCTTTTGCCATTTCTGATACCTCTGCTTCCCTGGGCACACTCTACTTCGCTGCTTGGTTTGATGATTATTTGCAATGGTCACATAGAACTCACAGACAGTACACACAGTTACGGGGCTTGTTGGGGAAGTACCAGGTTACTGCTCAGGTTCAGGAACCTTCAGAGAACAGTTTTATAATCAGAACAGCTTCTTCTCAGCTATGTCCACAGGCATGCCCCTCTCTGCTTCTGCCCCACTGGGACAAGTGTTCAAAGCACTTTTAGTGTCTAGGCACTTCACTCCACCGGCAGATCTCTTACCTGAAAACACTAAGCTTTCTCCGTCTGTGGGCTGGGAACCCACCACTCTGCCCCATTACCAGTCTCTTTGTTCTGTTGCCTTTGCTCCTGGTGTTTCTCTGCCACAGTTGTTTGCTGTGCCTGGTGTCACCATTCTCTGCTCAACTGAGCAGGTTCAGTGCCAAAATCTTGGATCCAGAGGATACACTACTCCTGGCTCTTCATTTTGATGATAGTGAGAGCCCATTTCCTGCCTTGAAAAGTCTAATGGGATGACAAAACTGACCAATACCCAGATGGGGGTTCTATATACCTCATTTGCATGATCCCATAACCCATAAGGGTGCCACACATCTTATTTACAGTATTAGCAAGCTAGCCCTTGCCTTCGGTTGGCCACAAGCACCTCATATTTGCACGGCATCATCAAGTGATTTGGTGGAAGTTACAAAGACTACTGCTCAACTCACTAGCCTCAAGTCAATTTCAATTCATAACAACCCTATAGGACAAGGTAGAATTGCCCCTTGGAGTTTCCAAGCCTGCAAATCTTTACAGGAGCAGAAAGCCTCATCTTTCTCCTGAGGAGTGACCGGTGAGTTTGAAATGCTGACCTTGCGCTACCCCACCAGGACTCCTTAGGAATAATAATAAGTAATTCATCGCACCACGTCCTTATGAACAATGCCGCAATGATCACGGCATCCATAGATCTCCTATTTCTGCAGGGTATAGATCTAGGAGTGAGACGGCTGGCTCTCATGCCATTTCTGTTTCCAACATTTCAGGAAGTACCATATCATTTTCCACCGTGGTTTTCTTAATTTAAATTGCATTTTTTTAAACCTATTTGCAGTTCTAATCTCTACACAATTTCAACCACATTTGGTGTTTTCGGTGCCGGGGTGAGATAATGCCTAATTGTGATTATGACTTGCATCTCTCTAAAGGCTAACGATCATGAGCATTTCTTCATGTGCTTTTTGGCTGCCTTAATGTCTGCTTTGGTGAAATGCCTGCTTGCATCATACCACCCAGTTTTTAAATTGATTTGTTCATCTTTTTTGTTGAACGAGACCTTTGCTTTAGAGTGTAAATTATGGCTTTTTAATAAAATAATATCAAAACATTTAGCTGTTGGATAGCATATTCTCCAAATGGGTACAAAACAACCAAGCATGGACTTCCCTTTTTGCTGTTCTTAAGCAATTTTTATTGGGTTGAGGGTGTAACTTTCAGGATATAATGTAGTTGCCAAATTCTGTCATCCTTTTTTTATTAAATGTCATGCAGGGTGTGGTGCCTTTACAGATTTTTTTTTTAGTTGTAGCTGTTAGTGTTTTCCTTCTTTATTTTTAAAGGAATGGTTAAGTACTGCGACCCCAGGGAAGTTCTTGTTTGCATCTTTGGTAGGGGCTTCCACACTCGGTACTAAAGGTCAGATGATTCAATGCAGCTTGTGTTCAAACATTCAAACACTCGCCTAGAGTGTTTATGTTCTTAACACTGTAAACTTATTAGAAATGAAGTCTTGATAAATAGTACTTTCACCCTTCTTTCCTTGGAAAGGTGAAAATAATTTGGAAGGAACAGCACAAATGGGGTATTAAAATTGTTATAGCCCATGGAGTGGTGTAGTTACTTAAAAATCTGAATTATCTGCTGAATCCAGTTTCTTATTGTTATTCCTTTATTCATCCCTAGTTTGGGGAAGTATTAAAATCATTTTGAACACACACACACACTCTCTCTCTTTCATTAAATAAAGGAAAACACAGATTCCACAAGATTGGAATTGGTACAACTCCTTTAGGATCAATGAAATGTCAGCAGCGAAATCCTCGGTTCAGAATCTAGCATGCGATGTTGGGATTGGAGGATTGCGGTTCTTCATTCTTACTAACAATTCACTCGCAAATCACTTTTGGAAACATGTGTAAAGCCCCTCGGTGAAGCTTACACACCCGTGAAACAAAGGAATCACGTAAGAGTGGCGTGTGTGTGGCGGGAATGAAAAGGTGACACGATCCTTTCTGCTCTCCCCTTCCTGTCCTTGGATCTACGCGTGTAGGAGACAGAAATGATGGAGAACCTGGTGTTTTCCAGGGTCCCGTCAGGGCTGGTGCTTTTTCTTTCACTCCAGGGA